CTTTCGGTTCTTCGGGAAAAAACTTAAATTAATACAAGCTCTTTTGTTCGCTATATATTAGTTCCTTCACGCTCTTCCGAAAGTTGGATTAAAATAATCGTTATTTGGCTGAATCAGAGAAATCTGAAGGGAAGGAGCGACAAGGTTCTTTGCTGAGAAGCTCTGTTTCTGTTTTGTTTTTGGTCTCGTAAATTTATGGGCTCAAAAGTGTTTTTCCTTTCTCAAATAACAGGCACTGATTATATAAGACGTTATACCAACAAATTTTGAGTTGAAGTATAGGCTCTGTAAGTAGGTACAGGATGCTTCACCACCTCAGCCCTAAAAGTAAATACTCTTAATATCTGCACAAACAGTTTGAACAATCAGAGTATTATCACCCGTTTGTTCCAAATGTTTTTATATCTGTAATTTGCTTTTCAGATAGTGCAATACTTCAAGTTTGATTTCGAATTTTGATTTGGACAAGTGTTTACCTTTCAGACGTTGTTAGTGTGAAGAGAGTGAATACAAGCATGGCTGAGATTCTGTTTTTCTTGCAGACCAACTTGGAGATGGTCATTACAGTGTGGTCCTTTGTCACAATAGGCAAGTAGACGGAAAAAATTTATTTCTTCAAAATTACCACTGAAGTTTAGGATTTTTTCTAGTTAAATGGTACCTTACACCGAATCCTATTCTCATGTTTATTGTCAATTCAAGTTTTTAGGTACAGTCAAAATATTAAAAACCTAGCAATAAATATTTTATTAACGGTTCAAGGAACTGTTTCCAAGAGATCTTGAAAAACAATTTTTGTGGATCTCCTCGAAATTGTGGAACATTGAAGGGCGGATAATCAATTTTTTTGCGGGTACTTTACATTCAAAGATCATTAAGATGATCTTTACTTCTAAAAAACTCCCCAATATTGTCACTAGAAGTTTCCGATTTTCGTTTTCGATGAGATTGAAGCATAGCCAGATCCAGTTTTTATTATATTGGAATTAAGTTAATTGACAAATTTATAATGCGATATTGATATACGAGAATTAGAATTTAATGAATTGCATAAATTATGATTTTTTTTGGTTTATAGGGATGCTGTGGCTTTTTACCATCCTATGTTTGGTGGACTTCTCCATTCTGGGTATTTATCTGTTGCTGCTGGCCCTATGTACAACCACTATCGAGTGTAGCAAATTCGTCCAGAGGTTCATGTGCTGTCCAGAGTCCAGCATACCCTACAAAATGTTCCAAGTGAGTACTTAAAGTATAAGCAGTTTTAATGGAAACAAAAATGAAATTTGAAATGCTATTACTATCTTTAAAAATTTGTGCAGTTAACCTTACAAAAGCGTCTCATATTAATTTCGCCAATTTAGGCATGTTTGGCTGAAATCTGAACGAAAGATTTGCTGAAATGAATAGCAGCAAATGGTTAAATGTAATTCAATCAGATGTTTAGCTCAACATAAATGATCTGCAGTTACTAATCATGACATATCGTGATTCTATATCAGATAGTCTTTTTTACTAGTTGTTTGTTTGTAGCTTGTAGAAAATCCGGCGAGTCTGTTCTGACGCGGGTGATCTTCGAAGTAGTGGAATCATAAAAAAAACTAGTTTCCGGTAAATTGATTATCATAAAGCTACGTTTTGTTCAGGCTTTGCTGTGGCTTAACACTTGGAAGCGAGCTCTGTTCTATCTCGTGGCCACCCTGATTCTCCTTTTCATGGTCATTCTCAATCTATGGTCTCTATTCCTGTTCATAGTTCTGGCAGGTCTAGCTGGACTCTACTTCTACCAGTGGTATGCGTCCAGGAACCAGTCTAACAACCAGGACGCCGAAAAAGGCTTTGATGGAGGAGCTGCTGGTGGACCTCCACCGGCTAACCCAGCTGCATCCGGATACTCCGGATACTGAAGTTTGAAGTCTCTGGCAATAGCTAAAATATATGTAAAAAGTGGACTGGCTAGTTAAATGGGCTTACAAAAGCAAATGGGCAGGCAATTATTTACAAGGTCAACAAACTATACAGGGCTAGCGAGCACACCTTCAATTTTTGTTGCTAAAGATTTGCAAAGATTCCCCCTTTGGATAGTTTTACGATATCCATTTTTGGCTTGCCAACCTCAAAAATTTTCTTAAGTCGCCTTAGGAGCCAATAACACAAAGTTGGAGGGGCGAGTGCTTGTCATGAAAGCAATTGTTTAGTCAATTTTTTTTAATTTTGCCAAGAAGCGTCACATTGAGCCTGTTTTTTTTTCTAAAAAATTGCCTCTGGAAAATAAATTGAGCGACCTAAAAAATGAAAGGTCGACGAACTTTTCTGCGCATGACACTGTAAAAATATGATGATTTGAAATAATTGTCGAACTGTTTGCATTTAGCTTTAATTCTCGGCCATTGCCCCTTCTATAACGCCTTGCATTTCAGTTGTAGACTCATACTTGAGTTCAAACCTCATCCGCAAATGTTTTGTATCCGTTTCTTGTACTTTACTCACTAAGTAGGCTTGAAATGATTCAGTTTGTATGTATTTATCTTTTTTGCTTTACAGGTTTTTGGCCTATACTATTTGAATTAGAAATTAATATTTAATTTTATTATAATACCCAAATATATTTAATACAAAATGTAGAATGAAATCTATGCCAATGAAGAATTGAAAGTAAGCTTTCATAATTCCGCACAATTTGTCAATTTTCCAACTACTCGAAGTCTACCTACTCATACCTCATTGCTCTCTCAGAATAACTTTGACTTCTCCTAAGTAGATGTAATTTTCGCTTGTATGTTTCTCTTTTGTAAATAATATAACGAATCCTTTCTGTGAAATGATCTGCCTAATAAATCTTCTTGATTAACAATTTTTTTTCAATTAAGCTACCTAACTGGAAGGTTTTTGTAACTTGTTGAGAGTTGGACCCTCTGCTTGGACGCGGACAGAAAAGGATTGATACGTTTTGCTCAAAAATCTTTTCCCCGAGCAAACGCTTTTGAAATAGTGCTCATTTTGGTCACAATTTTGTTGTATGGAATTGGCATTTATCAAACTAGACATTCCAATTAACTATGCAGGTGAACTATGCTTTCCAATTACAAGCAGAATTTTAATGTGAGTGTGTTCGAGTTTCGACAGGGATTAAAATTTTCAAAAATCCAGAGTAATGAAAAAAATTACCTATTAATCAAATTTTTCCCTCATTGGGTTAGTTGAATGGAAAAAGTGTCAATCATAAAAGATAATTGACATGTAAAATATTAATCGTTTTTGGGTTCATCACTTTTCCATTGAATGAAAATTTTTTAGAACCATTTTCCAGCTTTGCTGCTTTTACATCTCATCTTCTGTCAGTCAGTTTGCCATGCTAGGTCTAAATTGCATTTGAAGTAATTTCATCTAAGTTGGCCTCGAACTGATTTTTTATGACTTTAATATGAGCAGTTCAGACTCTAATATGTCTCGATGATTTTTTTTCCAGGAAAAGTTAAAATTTGTTCAGGCTCAAGTTCACTTTTTTGCGATGTGACTTTAGATTTCTTTGTAATTTTAGTTCAATTTCTTTGTTGAAAGGAAGGCAAAATTCACTATCGAAAAGCGAAAGTGTAAAGGTCACGAAAAACGTGATCGACTTCTTATTTCGAAAATGGAATTTATCAAAAAAGGTGTCAACCATAATTTGCTCTAGAAATTCAGCGAGCTTCAAGGCATTTTTTTTGGAAATTTTAAAGTAGAGAATTTTTCACAAAAAAAAACAAGAAAGGATTTTTTTCTGTTTATTTGCGTTCATTGACTCTTTTTCAACTGTTTGTTGGCTATGTTTTTAATTGTTGAACTCGCATTTTTGAAACTTTCTTAGTTGCTTCTGGTAAGGCTCTTAGTAAAATTGATCACAAAAAAGACCCAGGAAGCTCAAGAGCTGATCAGACAAAAACTGATTGGTCAATACGAAGTTGAACATCAACTTTAATTGAAATTTTTTGTGCAATTAGAAGGTTCATATATGTTCAGACATTTTTTTGTTCCGACCATTTGAAAAATGGAGAGGAACTTTGTATTCGGGTGTGTTTTAGTGTATTTTTATTTTCCACGCAAAATCAGGTACCATAAATAATAATGGGTCGAGTGATATACCATAATAAAGCCCTTTCAGTGGTGATTCAAACGACATTCAAAAATTTCCAAAAAGTTGTCCCAATATCGAGAAAAACAGGTTTAAGAATTCCGATTTTTAGTCTTAATTCGAGCATATAATGTAAGCGAGCAGGCTTACAATTGCTTATTTTTGCCTTTTTTAGGCCGTGAAAATTTAGTTATACTCAACTTAAGTTGTTTTTGGAAGCTTTTTGTAGCGCCATTTGGGAATTGAAAACTTTGAACTCAAAAAAACTTACTCAAAAGTTTTTTTGTATTCATTTTTCTACAAAAGTTCAGTGTGCCTTTTTTGAGACTGTCGAATATTGCTAATTTCAAGTTTTTTTGCTTAGATCGTTTTATCACAACGCGCAGAAAAATCACACTAATTTGAAAAAATTATATATCTTTTTTTAGACTCTGGTCGGAACATTCTGTGCTACTTGCAAAGTAACCCGCTATCCTTGTTATTGTTAGGCCTGCCTTATTAGACAAACCGACATGTCTGGTACTGTGAGAAATGTTGCACAAATGTTCACGGCTAACTTTTACAAGCGGGTAAAAATAGTCTGCTAATTATAGCTTCGGCTAATTAGCTCGTTCTGCTTTTAGACCCTTTCTGATCTTGGACTATTCTGTTCAGATCACCCCTTCCCAATATGCCAGGGTTTTAAATATCTGTCATTATGGATTCGAGCAAGACTGTCCAGATATAATAATAAAATTGAAGGAAATTATCAGGATATCAAAAGTAATATGAATCATGTAACTAACGCTTTTGCAATAGTGCCATGGCTGTTTTAAATAACATTACAGGAAAGATGGGTAATGTTGTGTCATTCAATTCAGTTTTTTGTGCTTCATTTTAATTGTCTTTCAGATAGTATGGCCCATTTTTCATGACAACAAACGAGAGTTGACTTAGATTTCAAAGTATTTTTGAAGATGTGCAGTGGATAATCTGAAAGGCTTCGACTAAAATGAAGAAACGGAAAGATAAGAATGTGAGTATCGTGCGAAGTGCGTTCATTCATCGATTTTAATCTGCAATAAAGGATAGTTTTGGCTTATTTTTATCTGGCAATAAGTAGATAATGTTGGCTTATTTTCCAGAACACTTATATGAGTTATGGAAAGGACCATAACTTAACTTAGTCAAGTTGTCTCCAGGAAAGTTGAAACTTTTTGTAAGTTTCAATTTTATAAGTTTCAATAAGTTAGAAAGAAAACACCTTTTTGATTTTACTATGTATGAAATCCGCGCTCTCTGTATAGTGTAATAAATTAATGCTCTGAATTTCAACTGAAAATAAGTCAAAATTTGATTTTAAATTCTAAGTTCCAACTTTGAGTTTGAGTTTAACAACAAAAGTAAACCTTTGAAAGTGGAAAGTGTTATCCAATTGTTTCTGTTGGTTAAAGAGAAATCAAAGCACTCTAGTCGGTATCCCCGAGGCGCTCAATGGAGATGGCAAGGGGGAGTCCAGGAACCAGACTGTGTTCGGAATATCAGATGCATATGGGTCTGCAGAAGGAGGGGGAGGTGATGTGGGTGGGGGCAAGAGCATTCGTGAGAGGATCAAGTATCTGCAGGAGAATGACCAGGAAAAGTACACTCTACTGCTGAAAAGAGCATTCGTAAGTCAATTAAAAGAAATAATATTGTTCATTTTTGCCATGAATCAAGCAAGCTAATTAATTCATAGTATCATGCTCAGTTGGTTTGAGCGCTCTTATGTTTACGTTTTTGCTATGAAAAACCTGCAAATTTTTGAACTCCGAGAAAATCAGCTGTCGAAAATGATAATTTTTTTGTGTTAATGCACAAAGCATTGGTTCTGTAATTTTTTCATCACAAAGTAATTACAATAAAATCATAACATGTGATGTTTCGTGTGATTTTTACAGGAGAGCATGAATCTCGGGGGCAAACTGGAGGAGCTGATGAAGGCCAAGAAAGGGGGAGGTGCTACGACTAGTGCTATAGATATGGACAAGTTCGTACTCGCATTTGCCACTCAGAAACCACTCGAGCTCCTAAAGATAGAAGGTCGGTGTTACGAGACGATAATTAACGCGAGAAATTGTCCAAACTGCAGGAGCAGATTAAAAGAGAGAACCTTTGCTACTCTTTATACAATTATATCTTCTATTGATCGGACATGCGATTTTTCTAAAGGCTCTATATTTTTTGTTGGGAAAAAGCCAATTAGATTTTCGTTGGACGATGTAAAATATGGCCAATGAATGAAAAAGATGGAGAATGATGAGAAATGATTTAATGCCCCTTAGACACGGTTATAATTTCATTAACAGTTGTTGACTTGACTAGCTGGAGTTTTATTTGCCGACACTCACTCACATCAACTTTATTAATTAGCACTTTAAGCGAGTGTTTTGTATTATTGATGAGTTTTACTACTTGAAGGTCTGGCCAATGCGAACTCGAGTGAAGTGGCAGTTGGGGCGGAGGGAGGGGACGAAGAGAGGAAGGATGCCCCTCAGCACTTCAAGAATCAGCTGCACACCATCAAGAACAAAAGCATAGAGGAGATGTCTGACTTGATGAAGGAACTCTCACAGGTCCTCAGATACTGCACAGTCGAGTAAGTAGACAGAAATAATCATTCATCGTGAAATCGGAGAAATGATCTGAAAGACTTAAGCACTATAGATTTGGGTTTTTACAAGGTCTTATAGGGTTTTTATGAATGCTTGGCGTCAGAAAATAGTGTAGCTTTACATCTTGAAGTACATGTGACGTTTTTTTTTCTTGTCGCGTTGTTTTTTCGAAAAAGATATAGGGCCGCATACATATATATGATGATGATTTAATAATACTACAAATTACGAAAACTGGCATATGTTTCAGCTGGATACGCAATTTTGGTGAAGACGGGCTTGTTGGAATCATGAAAGCACTCAAGTTAGTACATATCTTTATATCTTGTTTTATTGTCATTTGTTCTAATGCTTCGATGGTATCAAAGTCTGCCGTTATGGAGATATTGCTCCGTTGCTTGTCAATTGATTATATAAAGGCCCACGCTATCCGGTATTTTTTTGACTGATGGGTTTACGTATGGTCTGATTGTTTCAGACGTGCGTTCGAACTAGAGAAAGAAAAAGAAAAGCCTATAAAAAAAGAGAAGGACCACTTCACAGAGACCAAACTGAACACTCTCCGCTCCCTGCGATGCATGTGTAACTGCAAAGCAGGTCTAGTCGTATTTCTGGACACGTACTCTGGACTCTCCCAGAGCGTGGCTTTGGGTACAGATAACATGAGCAAACAGCGGGAACAGGAAAGGGAGAGGATGTTTTTGAATCTGGGCTACATCGTGATGTGCTTGGGCTGGGATCCGACGTCCGAGGCAAAACAGACACTTACTCTGGAGACGCTACAGTTCCTAGCACCGCTAATGGGAATCAAACTCAGTGACCAATACATGTAATGACTCATTTTCAAGGACCTTGCGATAATTTCCAAAGATTGCGTTTGATGGCTCATCGTGATGCGAAATAACATGAAAAAACAAAAATGCGGTATCTCTGTGTGTTGCAGTTGCTGCCATACAGCAGTTAGCGCAAGTTTTGGGGTTATTAAGGCTCGAACTTCGTTTTCTTTTGAACAAAATTGGTAAAATTTGCAGGTATCCTATTGTACTGGAGGCATTTTCGGCTGCTGAGACAATCAGGAGAAGAGACGACGACAACTTTTTGATCAATTTGGAAAAATACGAGCGATTCACACCCTTAGCAAACATGTTGGACATATACGCCAAAGATGTGAACGACAGTTCTCTCATGGAGAAGCCCTTTCCGGATCAGAAACCAGAAGACGGATCAAATCCGCCAGAACCGGACTACGCCAACGAGATCAAAAGATACCCCAATGGACTCAAAATTATTGTGAGTTTTTGTTTTCTGGTTTTCTGGTTAAGACTTACATGCCTTTTTTGGTTGTTTTTCTGGGCTGGATAATATTGCCTCACCCTCAAGGAACGAGCACCGATCATGGTGGGTCTTGAACATCCGCCCTTTTAATCAAATTTTTTTTTTAAAAATTGGTGGATGAAGCAGCAGGTAGCAAGTGTAGAGCTTATGAATTTTATCAAATTGATTGAGTTCAACATGCGTATATAAGATATGAATTTTGTTTTCTAGATCTTTTATTTTGGACACTGACAAATTAATTGACAAAGGAAAGATTTGTTGTAAGATCAGTAAGGATAATTGTTTTGTCCGCATTTTTGAGTTCTGCATTCAGTTTTAAGATGAATTCTTTTTTCCAGACTTTAAAAGAACGATTGCATCATCCATCAGCGAGGTTTTCTCTAAAAAACTTTGAAAAGTTTCATTTATTCTTGAGCTTTCATTTTGTTTTAGTTCTACGTTTTGCAATGCATTCAGAAGTTCTTCGACAAGCTACTAGAACGCAATCAGATAGAGTACCTCATGGTCATCAAGGCCGAGTTCTCCCGCCTCAAAATTAACGACCAGCTAGAAGTAAGAACTACTTCGAAATATTTTGAAAACTCGAAATTATTACGGGTTCAAACGCATTCAATCCCTTCCCTCATTATTTGTCTCCATCCTTTCACAAAAGCTCTAAAAACATAATTTGTTTTATGCCACAGTATATGCGAAAACAATTTCAGGAACAATTACTTGTGCTGCGTTTTCTTTGTTTTTCAGGTCTTAGAGCGCGTCTCAAGTTTTTTTTTAAAAAAAAAGTTTCTATCTTTAAGTTCGCTCCCATTACGGTTCGAAAGATGATGCAAAGTATAATTAGCCAGTCTTTTGAAATTAATTTGTTGTGTGCGATGGTGTAGAGACTAAGAGTTGAGCTGGTGAATCGAAGGCGTATCCGTGAGGAAGAACTGCGTGAGGATCACGACACGACAGGTGAAGGTGCAGACGGGGAGGGGAACAGCAACGACAAACAGGCCAAAGAGAGACAGGACTTGTATGACCAGTACCCGGACTTGTTAGTCGTGGACAGTAATGACGAACTTGCCAATTTAGTCTACCATTTGTGCTTCACTGTGCCAGAGAAACTATCGGAGAAGCTGGTCAGTAATCACTTTCACAGAATTCTTTTTCGAGAGATTGTGATCTAGCCTATTAGGTTGATGGTACTAAATGGTTTTGGAAGTGTGCCTTCAAATAGAATTGGGATGTCCGAAATGGGATCCCTTGTGATTTTCGAAATGAGATCACTTTCAGGAATCACTTGTCTGTAGTCATTTTCAGGGGAGGCTTTTGAAATTTTTCAATAGTTATTGGTCTAGTAAATTCGATCGATTGTACTAATTGGTTATAGAAGTTTGCATTTAAGAGGAGCTAGGATACCCGAAATGGCTGAATTCGAGACATCTCTTATTGACATGCATTGTGCCTATATGATAGCCTGTCCAGGATAAACTATAAATGAACGGAACGCTATATCTATAAATGCGTTTAAAACCATGTTTATTCCTTTTTCTGCATAAATTAGCAAAGTACGGATCTCAGGCGAACCAGAATCTTGAAATTATCTGAGCTTGTTTGTGATTCGGATAGCCTTGCCAACCTTGATAATCTTGTTGCTCAAAGCAACATTTTTACGAAGAAGGCCAAATTAATCTCCAAAACTTTTTGGTTCGTTTTTACGCAATGCAACCTTGAATTCACAACTTTATCGGGTAAAATTATTCCGTGAAAAGCAATCAGCAAGAATTATAACATCATATATAACATTTTTTCTAGTTAAAGCCCCAAATAACATGAAAACTTCTTATAATTTAACTTCTCCATTTGACCAGTAATGTTTTGATAGGATGGTCATCACGACAGTCTTAGAAAGTGTCTTGAAAGCTCAGAAGAAACCTTCAAACTGTTGAGGTCTTCCCTCCAGAACACAGACAGTGAGAAGTACCTCCTCACAGCACTTCAGCTGATGCTCTTCTTCAAAGATGACGATGAGTACACGAGGTTAGATTAATTGTTTCTAAGTGGCCTGCTAGGATCATCGTGTACTCTTCTCAATATCAACTTCATAACTTCAGGATTAAAACTTCAATATATGGTAACACTAGCGTAGCGAGCGTAGAGTATTAGTGTGACTATTTTTTCCATACTTTTCCAACGCAAAAAAAGTGCTCATTGGTATTTTGCTATAATCGTGTCAATCTGTTCTCTGCTTTATTTGTGGCTAGTTAATGCCAGCGCTAAGCGACCGCGACACAGATGAAAAGACGCGAGACTCTTATATACTGGTAAAATGTAGATGAACGTAGTTCAGACTTTTATGTAGGTAGGGATTTTTTTTAAAGTTTTTTTTTAGGAAAAGTCATGAAAGTTTTTTTTTCGCGGTTTGACTTGATTACTTTTCAAGTTAAAGCGAAAGCAAACTCGACTGTTGAACAGCAGAAATGTAAAGGGCTTGCTAAACGTGATCGACTTCAACTTTCGAAATTGGAATTGAATGATCAGATTTCCCAGTGAAATTAACATTTTACTTATTGACCCAGTTTTTTTTTCAAATTAGGTTAATTTCTTCAAAAAAATGTCAATCATATTTTTTTCTTGGAATTCAAAGAGCTTCAAGGCCATGTATTTTGTTCTATGAAATTCGAAATTTGAAATTTTTTCACTCTTTTCTGTTTACTTGCATTCATGAAATAATTCACTGTTTTTCTGTTTACTTGCATTCATTGACTCTTTTCGTGCATCATTAGCGGCTAATGTTAGCAAACTTTCAAGGGCAGGTGGCGCAGATGCAAGAACGTGAAACCCCGAATCTCGAGGTAGCAGGTTCGAATCTGATATATAGCAAAAGTTTTTTCTAGTTCGAGGCTTATTTCTCGTTTTTTTTTTCATTTCAATTTAATAGAGCTGGTTTTTCTAGCTAGTGTTTGAGCAGCGAGGCTTCCACTTTCTGTATGAAATACTGTAATGAATTAACAAAAACAGCTGTTGAAAGTGCAAAAAATTGCCGTTACGCAATCAAATGTGCGGCGACGTGTTAATTTTCTTGTTTAACTTTTTAAAAACGTTCTAAACTACTAAATTCATGTTTTACAGAGAGAAAAACAGGGATACAATAAATTTTTATTATTTTCAAAAGGTCTAAACCTAAAAGAAATGAGTTTCGTGGTTGTTTTGTTTTTACAGCTCAGAATGGTCTATGCAAAAAACGAAAACACGTATATAAGTCTTGCTGTTTTTGTTTTTAGTGTCGATGAACGTATTTTAGACTCTTATATAGGTCGTGATGATTTATTTTCATTTTTTAAAAAGGAGAAGTCTTAAAATTTGTTCAGGCTGAAATTTCTTTTTCGTGGTTTGGTTTTTGATTTCTTTTTAATGTCAGTTCATTTCTTTTACAAACTCCACTATTGAGCAGCGAAAATGTAAAGTTCACAAAAATGTTACCGACTTTCAATTTCAAAAACGAATTTAAATAATCAGATGACCCAGCAAAAAATGCCAATCTTAATTTGTTTTTGAAATTCAAAGAGCTAAAAGGCAAGGTCCTATATTTTCTTTGAAATTCGAAAGTTGAAATTTTTTTTTAAATAATTCTGTATGTTTTGCTGTTCACTTGCATTCATTGACTCTTGTCTAAATGTATGTTGACTTTTTTTTCAGGAGTTCATCCCAAACGCGCGAAAAACGATAACTTTTTTTAAAATTAACTTTGGTCGGAATTTTTTTTGTGCAAAATGCATATTAATAGGCAATTCTTGTTTAGATTGGCTTATTTCCGAGTCATCACAGAATGCATATCGCAGCTCCTGGTGAACAGGAAGAGAGAGCACCTCGACTTCTCAAATGGCATCCTGCTCAAGGATGACTGGAGCATGAAGGATTTCATGGACAGCATATGCAAACGTGCAGAAGAACTTGAGGTAAAGAATACTGAAGTTTTGTCTCTAAATGATGGCTGTTGAAGTTATATTAGACTATATTCTCTTTCACTATCTTTCCTAAATTTCAAAGGGCGTTTTTGTTACTAGGTACGAAATTTGTACATGCTTAATAGTTGAACCAGTCCATTGCATGGGTGGATATTCTTGACTAGGGAATGAAAAGTTAAAAATGCAGGTGACGAAAACGAAAAATTGTTCGGGGTATCACAGTTAATCTACAACCTCAGAACCCCCAAACCTCCCCTCCTCTCCGAGTCAGGGTTGGCAAATTGTATTATGTTTTTGAAAATAACAAAGTAACAGTTAACTGTTGAAAAAAAACATGTTATTTATGTAAAATTGTTAAATAATTCACTAAGAAGCATTAATTTTTTTCCTGAAGAGAAATGCCAGCTTCCCAGCTTTCTCGACGCCAAGTTGGGCTCTGAGATTCCCATACGTGAATATATCACGTTGAAGAATTCCGAAAATAAACCAAAATTCCAGAACTGAAAAAATTCAGCACTCAAAAATTCATATCACCCCCCTCCCCCCCCCCCAACCCACAGCGGAAAGATATTCAATCCAAAAAACAGTTATATGCGTAGTAATTTCCAAAGAAATACCCGCATTCTATGAAATAGCTAAAATCACTGTTAGAAAACATAAATAACATTGAAGTCAAATTGAATGGTAAATAACCACGTTAAAAAACTTCCCAACCCTGCTCCGAGTAGGCTAAATTGACCGTGTTTAGATTTTAGTTACTCCATTTAACTTGATCCACTGTTCATGTTAAAAACAAATTTTCTTCTTAGATATGCAAACAAAAAAGTTTTTTTTTTTTAGTCTGAGGGAGTTTCAAGTGGAAGGTCGACTGCTGGAGCCGCACAGGCAAAAGAAGGCACAGAAAGCAAAGACAAATCAGTGAGTTTTACCAAGTTCTGAATCTATTTCTACAAGTTCTACAATTTGAGCCGATATTTTCAACAGACTTCTTTTATTTACCACAAGCAAACGGACTCATCATTCTTCGGAAACTAAATTCAACTTTCAACGAAATTGGTGAAATAAATTTCCGATGTTTAGTTCTGGCTTAATGTTATTTGCTTCATTTACAGGCTCCGGCCAATACGCAACGGACACTTGAGCTGGAAGTGCAATTGTCTGAATGTGAAAAAATTCTGAATGAGTTGGTGGAAAAGGTTGGATCATTTGACATGTTTTCTATCAAATCGTACCAAGTAAAAGTTTATTTCAAAAAGAATTTTTGTTGTGGTTTTAGTGTGAGAAACAAAATGTAGATGTCAAGCTTGCCAAAGACTATTTGAATCAGAGTAAGTGCTTCGTGTTGCTTTGTGTGTACACTCAGTTTGAGCAGGTCATAGAGAAATTAGATATAATTGTAAATGCTCAAAAAGCAAGTTTGTAGCGGAAATATTCGCCAGCATTGATTTCATGAACGTAATAATTTTAGTGGTATTTTGATCAGGCGCTGATTGCTTGTTAAATATATACTTAACTTATTGCACAAGCGAGTTTGGGAGAGTAGTGTTGTAGTATAAGTATAAGATCAGTATACTTTTTTCTTAACGCAAAATCGCAATTTTCTGTTTTCAATTCTTGTATCCATTTTCATGTCTTTCGAATAGCATTAGCCATATCACACTTGACTATACCCAGCTAAAGGAAAAGGTCCAGCGAAATATGGATCAATAAATCAACTATTTTTTAGGAAAGTTGTCGAATAAAGACATTTTTATAAATTTTTAAATCATTTGAAAGTCTGGTAGGACAATGCCAGATATAGGTGAAATGATTAACACCAACGAGCTGGTTACTGAATTGAAACACGAAGTCGCAGAGGCATTTAATAACTATTTTTCTCAAATAGCAGGAAAATTAAATATCTACCGTTACATAAGAAGAAATTGACTGTATGCTTTTAAGAGTAATGAACGTATATAGGTCTTGTTGATTTTTTTGTTTTGTTTTCAGGAAAAAGTCTTAAAATATTGATGCACTTAGGTATATATGCACTTTTTGAGCTCAATTAAATTTCATCTGCTGAAAGTGACGTAAATAGCCTTCTCCAAATACGAACGTGGAAATGGCGCGAAAAACGTGAACGAGTTTTAGTTTCGAAAGTGGAATTTATTTTTAAGGTTTCCCAGCGGAATAAACACTTTACCTGTTGATCCAATTTTCTCTAAATGGGCTAATGTTATCAAAAAAGCGCCAATCATAAATTGTTCTAGAAATTCAAAGAGCTTAGAAGGCTCGGAGCTTTGAGATTTTTTCAAGAAAGTCAGTGTTTAAGAGTTATGAAAGTATTTAGTTCTCTTAGGCATTTAATAAGTATTTTCTCAAATAGCAGGAAAATTAAATATCTACCGTTTTATAAGAAGAAATTGGCTGTATGCTTTTAAGAGTAATGAACGTAGTGGAGACTCTTTTATAGGTCTTGATGATTTTTTTATGTTTTCAGGAAAAAGTCGTAAAATATTGATGCACTTAGGTATATATGCACTTTTTGAGTTAATTGAAATTCATCCGCTGAAAATTACGTAAATAGCTTTATGCAAATACGAACGTGGAAATGGCGCAAAAAAAACGTGAACGAATTTTAGTTTCGAAAGTGGAATTTGTTTTCAAGGTTTCCCAGCGGAATAAACACTTTACCCGTTGATCCAATTTTCTCTAAATGGGTTAATGTTATCAAAAAACCGCCAATCATAAACTGTTTTAGAAATTCAAAGAGCTTAGAAGGCTTGGAGCTTTGAGATTTTTTCAAGAAAGTCAGTGTTTAAGAGTAATGAACGTATTTAGTACTCTTATATAGGTCTTGCTGATTTTTTTGTTAGTTTTTTACAGGAAAAAGTCTTCCATTAGGATTTTGGATGACCAATTTCCAATACATTTCTGAAAATCGCCGGAGTGATGTGAAAATAGCACTCGAAATGCTCTGTTTCGGAAAATCTGTTCAAGGACCGAAATTTTGTCTCGTTTGTAGTCTGTCACAACGGCTGGTGGGGCCCATCTTTGACTTGTCAAGCGTTTGGTTTTGTTCGCCGATTATTTGAAAAAGTTTTGGTTTTGACAGGCTGATTTTCCATCAAGAGTCCGAAAACTAACGGCAAACATTGATCGATATTCGTATATCCTGTACGATACATGGATCTCATCGTATGAGGTGTTGTTGATTTGAATGTTCGATGCTCAATATTGCATCTGAATTAAACACAAAGTGTCAAATTTTTTGTCTGAAGCGAATGTGGTAAGACCAGCATCATTATCATGGGCAAGAATGATTGACTTTTTGTTTGAAGCCGTTTGAGCGCCATTTGCTTTTTAGTTAATCGCCCCTTTCCAGGTATCTCACTAGCGAGCTTGGTCGCGTTTGTGTATTAGTGCGCATTTTTTTCTAACGTAGTCGCAAATAAAAGTTTTCAGTGAAAGTGTTCACTTATATGGAAAGTTCTCTATAGCTGATTTATTTGTGTGTAGTGTTGTGATTAATTAAGCGTCCGTGGTTAGTATGTTAGTGCATGCGATTCATAATCTCTAGGTCGCAGTTGGTTAGATTCCGAGACGTAGCCGACTTTTTATTATTTCGTGGCTTATTTCTTCTTTCTCCTTTTGCACTATAAAGCTGATTTTTGTCGTGTTCTCGCTAGTATTAGCGAAGCATAGCTCCGCCTCTGTGTACAAACTTTTGTCACCGTTGTTGAATTTGGAGGAAAAAAAGTTTCACGTTTTGTTGTAAAGGCTGGACTTAAGACTTTTGTACTCTGGCGCAACAGTCATACTTGAATCCAATACGTTGTCATTAATATTTCTCGACAGATTTGTCGGGTCTTTTTTCGTTTTTTCATTTTCTGTCAAAAGCTTCCATCGATATTTCATTTCTCTCGTTATTGTGTGTGTGTGCAATCCCGAATATTTTGTAACTTTTTTGAAATCGGCTGTTAAAATCATTCGCTTTTCGCAATTTATCGAGCGAAACAAAACAAAATCGTATATAAAGAGCTTAGGGTTTTTTTGAATGGATTAAATGGCATTAATTTTTGGAAATAACATCTTTCTCCTGTGAAATTATTAATTGTACCCGAATTGTTGATCAATTTTTAGAAAAGACTGGCTTCAAGTCATCAAAAAATTCGCCAGTACTAATTCCACCTCTTGAGGTGGTGGGTGGACCGCCTCCCCCTCCCCCACCACCGGCACCTCCTTTAGTAGCTGGTGGACCGCCGCCCCCTCCCCCACCTCCGGCACCTCCTGTAGTAGCTGGTGGACCGCCTCCCCCTCCCCCACCACCGGCACCTCCTGTAGTAGCTGGTGGACCGCCTCCCCCTCCCCCACCACCTGCACCTCCAACTCCAGGAAAGTTTTTTTTTGAAGACTGAATGAAAAACTTTTCTGTCAATGATTTCTGTAGCTTATCTAACCGCCTTCTGGCTCTTCTGCGCTAAAACTTAATGTCTTCTGCGACTTAATGTTTTTAGTGTTAATGAACGTAGTGAATTTGTGTAGCTTTTTTCTCTAAAATTGCTGTTTTTATTTTGCTGTTTGATTTTCAGTTTCTTTTAGCATTTACTTCAATTTCTGATGTAAGTGGAAGGCAAGTGACGCTTTATAATAACAAATGCAAATGGCACGAAAAAATGTGAACGACTTGCTATGATTTTTTTGTTGACGCTCCCGGCTGAAAAAACTTGTTGTTCCAGCTTTCTCGTATTGTCCTTATTTTATCACAAAATTCATAATTCTTGATCCCACTCAGTAGCGGATTTAGGGGCGGATTTTGAGATATCCAGTTTTGGATGACTGATCTAGAAATTTTATTAAAGGTGCATTGGGCACCAACATATATTAATTTTGAGGGGGGAGCGCGCGGTGAAAAGACGCAATTTTTGGTCAAAAGTTTCTAAAGAGTGCCCTAAAACGCATATTTTTTTTCAAAAATTTGCATGCGGCCAATAACATTTGGTCAAAATCGGGTCTTCATAGTTATTTGGAAGAGCTCAGAAAATCAATTTGGTCGACCTAAAGAAAAGGTCGACAAAATTTTCAAAATGTTTTGAAAATCCGCCCTACCCCCTCGAGAAATTCGCGCCTGATCCCACTGAATGAACGACGTGAAGACACTCATTTGACGTTTTCTTATGGAAATTTTTGGAAGTTATTCTCCCCTAAATTTGATTTTTTTTTGAGGAAAGCGAATTTTCCTCTCTTTAAGGTGGAACGAGATGGTTTGAAAATCGATCATTTAGTTATCATGTGAAGTTTTAAAACACTCGGAAATTATGGACAAAATTTATACCAGTAAAAATAGAGAAGTGAGGGAAAAGAAAAAGTCAAGTTCGATTTTAAAAGTTTCAATTTAAAAGATTTGTTGAGATCTAGCAGCTTCAAGGTGATATATTTTTTCTTGAAGCTCGAAGTTTCTTTAAACTTGCGGGTGCAAGTGTATTCTAGGGAGCTAGATTTTCCCCGTACTTTTCTTACCTATTTGTAAGAAATTGAACTTGCTTTGTTATTGGATGTTGCCATTTTCCCGGTTCCTTTCCTCTTGGTCTACATGAAATGCGGTTGTCAAGACCTGGGGTTTGTTTTTTCAGTATGTATAAAATTGGAAAATTTTTTCCTGGAAAAATTGAGTTTTCGGTTTTTTGTTAGTCTGCTTAAACCGTGGTGTCGGTTTAATTGCCGCATCACGGTTTTCTCTAAAGCTGCAAACTTTTTTTTAGTTGCAAGCAATTATGTAGTTCCATGTGTTGTTAATTTACTACTGTAATTTTAAATATACTAGCCCGTACTTCATTCGGTCTAAATAGTTTCGGCTTATGTTTTACCGGGTCTGCGACTTAATGTTTTTAGTGTTAATGAACGTAGTGAATTTGTGTAGCTTTTTTCTCTAAAATTGCTGTTTTTATTTTGCTGTTTGATTTTCAGTTTCTTTTAGCATTTACTTCAATTTCTGATGTAAGTGGAAGGCAAGTGACGCTTTATAATAACAAATGCAAATGGCACGAAAAAATGTGAACGACTTGCTATGATTTTTTTGTTGACGCTCCCGGCTGAAAAAACTTGTTGTTCCAGCTTTCTCGTATTGTCCTTATTTTATCACAAAATTCATAATTCTTGATCCCACTCAGTAGCGGATTTAGGGGCGGATTTTGAGATATCCAGTTTTGGATGACTGATCTAGAAATTTTATTAAAGGTGCATTGGGCACCAACATATATTAATTTTGAGGGGGGAGCGCGCGGTGAAAAGACGCAATTTTTGGTCAAAAGTTTCTAAAGAGTGCCCTAAAACGCATATTTTTTTTCAAAAATTTGCATGCGGCCAATAACATTTGGTCAAAATCGGGTCTTCATAGTTATTTGGAAGAGCTCAGAAAATCAATTTGGTCGACCTAAAGAAAAGGTCGACAAAATTTTCAAAATGTTTTGAAAATCCGCCCTACCCCCTCGAGAAATTCGCGCCTGATCCCACTGAATGAACGACGTGAAGACACTCATTTGACGTTTTCTTATGGAAATTTTTGGAAGTTATTCTCCCCTAAATTTGATTTTTTTTTGAGGAAAGCGAATTTTCCTCTCTTTAAGGTGGAACGAGATGGTTTGAAAATCGATCATTTAGTTATCATGTGAAGTTTTAAAACACTCGGAAATTATGGACAAAATTTATACCAGTAAAAATAGAGAAGTGAGGGAAAAGAAAAAGTCAAGTTCGATTTTAAAAGTTTCAATTTAAAAGATTTGTTGAGATCTAGCAGCTTCAAGGTGATATATTTTTTCTTGAAGCTCGAAGTTTCTTTAAACTTGCGGGTGCAAGTGTATTCTAGGGAGCTAGATTTTCCCCGTACTTTTCTTACCTATTTGTAAGAAATTGAACTTGCTTTGTTATTGGATGTTGCCATTTTCCCGGTTCCTTTCCTCTTGGTCTACATGAAATGCGGTTGTCAAGACCTGGGGTTTGTTTTTTCAGTATGTATAAAATTGGAAAATTTTTTCCTGGAAAAATTGAGTTTTCGGTTTTTTGTTAGTCTGCTTAAACCGTGGTGTCGGTTTAATTGCCGCATCACGGTTTTCTCTAAAGCTGCAAACTTTTTTTTAGTTGCAAGCAATTATGTAGTTCCATGTGTTGTTAATTTACTACTGTAATTTTAAATATACTAGCCCGTACTTCATTCGGTCTAAATAGTTTCGGCTTATGTTTTACCGGGTTAGTCAGTTTAGTCTGTGTCTTTTGAAGGGAAAAATTGATTTTCATTTACCCTTTCGATAAACAAGGGTTTTGAAATCGGCCGCTAGACTCTTTCCGCGTATATAACTTTGTTCACAGTATCATATCGGCAATTTCAAGATTTCCATTTCTACCCGAGTTCTACATTTAACAGTTATTCTTGAACAGTTGGTCTAGAGCTACTGAAGTGATATAGCGTGTCTTTTTGATTTTTTCGGCATGAAGGGTTTCTGCTCAGGTATTTTTGGCTTTGTTACATCTTGGTAATTATAAATTCAAATCGAATTCACCATCCGGCGGTTAAACAACAGCTTGAGACGGCAAAGGCTTGTGGTTCGAATCCAGCCGAGCCTTATTTTTGCAACTATAGTTTTTGTGCTTTCTATGTAGCCTTCCCAAAGCTTCTTGTTGGGTTTCTAATGGCACAGGCACCTTTGCTCCGAATATTTTGGGCTTTATTGCTATTTTTATTGATAAAAACGATTTTATGAAGTTTTTTCATTTTTTTACATTTAGTTTTAATCATAGTCATTCATATTTGTATCGCAAGTGATGCGAAGCTCATCATTGCCGGTGTTTAGTTTCTCTCTCGAGTCTCCTTTTTTATTTTAATCTTTTTTTTGTGATCCAATTCTTATAACGTTGCGTATCAGCTTCACATTCAATAATTTGTTGTAATTGGGTAACTTTTATACGCTTTGAGAGTTTTTGGAATTTCTGCAGGTGTTTTACGAGGAAATTGATGGAAATATGTGCATTCGTTTTGCTGTATTTTTTTTCTTTATTTAAAAAAGTTTTCTATCTAGTTTATATCGAATAATGGAAAGGAATTTTTTAATGCCTAATTGCTCCTGCAGGATATGCCGGTTGTTTGTGTGCAAAGTTTTTAGCAAATTGTTTCAGTAAATTTAGGAGTTTTTGGATCTCGATGTTTCGACCGACGCTTTTTTCTTATCGGTTTCATCTATTGGTTTTGAGAAGTGGATTTAATGTATCCCGATTCCTCCTTTTGTTAAAGTTAGTTAATTTTTATAACAAATGCTGTAACAATTTTTATAACAATAACAATTTTTCATTTTTAGCCTTCGATTTCTTGAACAGAATTTAGTTTTTCTTTTTTCGTTTGCGACACATTGTGTTTTGATCTTCGGCTTTCTATTTTGTATCGCTAGTGGTGCGAAGCTCAGCTTAACCTCTGTGTTGAAAAACGTAAATGTAGTCGGTTGTGGAGTACAAGTTGAAGTTATAAAACTCATTTGACAAAATTAAATAAAATAGTTTAACTTAATTACACCGAAGACTTTAGTCAAGGTGTTATGGTATCGTGTAACGGGTTTTTTTTTAATGTTGTCTGTTGTCAAGTGTCGACAAATAACGTCCACAGTTATCAATTATCATGTGGGCTGGACTATATCGCGCTATGTCACGTGATTGCGTATGTTTGTTTCTTTATTTGTTCATCTTTATTTATTTAATTATCTGTTCTTCTATTTATTTAATTATGTTTAGTTTGCTTATATTTATTTATAATTTATGTATGTACATATTTATTTTTGTTTATTTTTATCACGTGTTTTGTTTATTTATTTAATTATTCTCTTTCATTTAGTTTTGCTTTTATTATTTCTGCGTGTGTATTTATTTAATTTATTTATTTTCATTTATTTATATTATGGGTCTGTTTGTTTGGTTATTTGTTCATATATATTTTTTCATGTCTATTTAATTATTTGTACATTTCACTTTTGCTTTTATTTATTTATTTATTTATTTATGTATTTATTTATGTATTTATTTATTTATTTATGTATTGATTTATTTTTTTATTGCTTATTTATTTATCAGGTGTGCTTTGTTTATTTGTTGATATTTATTTCTATATTTATTTAATTATTCTTTCTTTCATTTAGTTTTGCTTTTATTATTTATGTATGTGTATTTATTTCATTTATTTATTTTCATTTATTCATATTATGGGTCTGTTTGTTTGGTTATTTGTTCATATATATTTTTTTGTTTTTTGGATTTGTTTTTCGGATTGTTTTACTGCTACATACTGTCAATTCTGAGACTGCTTCACAATTTCTCAATATAATAAGACTAATAGCTTTTTTTCATTTTAGCTCTTTCTTGTAAGTATATGTGTAAGTACGATTTTTAGTTATTCCGGAGACCCATATGAGTCTACATGCCAATTTATACGATTGGCCGATTGAAACGACAGGAGGCGTTTTGCTACACATACAAACACAATCTTTTGTATTTTATTATAGCTATAGAAATTGATCTACAATGCGTAAGTACGACATTTAGCTCTACGATTATTATTTCAGGTCCTTTTTCAATATTTCAGGCTCTTTGTCAATATAGCAAAATTTTGGTGTATATATGTGTTAGTAAGATTTTTAGTTCTACAACGTTTATTCAGGCTCTTTGTCGATATAGCAAAATATTGGTGTATACATGTGTTAGTACGATTTTAGCTCTAGAATTGTTATTTCAGGCTCTTCGTCAATATAGCAATATTTTAGCGTATACATGTGTTAGTACCATTTTTAGTTCTCGAACTGTTATTTTATGATCTATGTCAATATATCAAAATTTTAGTGTATACATGTGTTATTACGATTTTTAGTTCTCGAACTGTTATTTCATGATCTTTGTCAATATATCAAAATTTTATTGTATACATGTGTTAGTACCATTTTTAGTTCTCGAACTGTTATTCCATGATCTTTGTCAATATAGCAAAATTTTGGTGTATACATGTGTTAGTACGATTTTTAGCTCTAGAACTGTTATTCCATGATCTTTGTCAATATAGCAAAAATTTGACGTATACATGTGTTAGTACGATTTTTAGCTCTCGAACTGTTATTTCATGATCTTTGCCAATATAGCAAAATTTTGGTGTATACATGTGTTCGTACGATTTTTAGCTCACGAACTGTTATTTCAGGCCCTTTGTCAATATAGTAAAATTTTGGTGTATACATGTGTTAGTACGATTTTTAGTTCTAGAAGTGTTATTTTATGATCTTCGTTGATATATCAAAAATTTAACCTATACATGTGTTAGTACGATTTTTAGTTCTAGAACTGTTATTTCAGGCTCTTTCTCGATATAGCAAAATTTTGGTGTATACATGTATGAGTACGATTTTTTGTTCTAGAACTGTTATTCTTCAATTATTAGTTGTTCAAGTTCTTTGGTTTTTGCTTCAGTTTCTATGCCTTCGGTGTATTGCGCGTAGCGCCTATGTTTTAATACTGTTGATTCTGTTTCTCGACAGTTTTCCTGACTTTGAGTTTTTCAATTTTTCGACTAAGTTGTTTCCGTCTCATTTGCTAGCTTGAAATGCTACTCTTGCGTTGTGTTTTTTTTCGGTTTCCTTGGGTTCATTGCTAGTTTTTCAACTGTCTGATAGCTATGTATTTAATTAAGTCGGTGACCTAGCTTGAATGTTAATTACTTAAGCTTAACATAGATGCGACTTGAAGTCATTCTCGAAAAAAAATACTACTTAAGGTCTTATTGATTTCTGACCTATTGTTTGCTTATTTCTCCACAAACTAATGAATTTTTTAAACCAACTTGAGCATCAAAATTTCATTTCGCTTCAAATTAGAAATCGTTTCATTGTTTAGCAAAGAAGTCGTCAAACATTCCATCGCCTCCAGGTTCAGGTGGTGGACCGCCTCCCCCTCCCCCGCCTCCAGGAATGGGCGGAGGGCCGCCACCACCACCCCCGCCACCCGGAATGGGTGGGGGGCCACCTCCTCCGCCTCCACCGCCTGGGATGGGAGGAGGGCCACCACCACCACCCCCGCCACCAGGAATGGGTGGGGGACCACCTCCTCCGCCTCCACCGCCTGGGATGGGTGGAGGACCACCACCGCCTCCGCCCCCGCCTGGAGGAAGAGGAGGCCCACCACCGCCGCCCCCGATGCCAGGAAGAGGGGGAGGTCCTCCACCTCCACCGCCACCAGGTGGACGACCAGGCCCCCCGCCCCCGCCTGGAATGGGAGGGTTTAGACCCCCTGTGAAAAAACAAAGACATCCCGATGCTCCCCAAAGAGTCGCTTATCAGCTGCCCACAGCAACATCAAAGATGTTCTGGAAAAAGGTGAGGAGAATATGCTTCAGTTTTCCCAAAGAAGTCTTCCACTTATTTTAGTTTCATAAACTAGCAGCTTGGTATATTATGCGAAATTTTATTGCGTTCATAGTTTGGAATTTGTGAAGATTTTGGATTTAATTTTGAGGTATGCTTTAGGCATAGTCATATTTGTTTGAGTATATGAATTTAGGATAGACCCTGCAATCCCAATGGATTCGTCGGTTGTCCTTTATGATTTGCTAATATGGTTTATGAACTGATGTATGTAACAATGAGAAATTAACTCGTCTTCTTGATCGGTAACCAGTGCAATTATTGTTGCAGCATTCTATCCCTCCATGGTATAGATGTTCGTTATATATAAGTATTGTCCATTTAGGCTAAACAACTTGATTTTACTAAAAATAAAACTCATTTTGGAAGCTTCATTAAGTGCTTTTTTGGCTAAGAAAATTTTCATACAATAATAAAATTTTTAGTGCAAAAAATTAAGCCTTTTTTTCTTCATTTTTTCATTTATTTTTTTTTGAAGACAATTGTTGTATTTCATGCCTAGTTCACTGAATTTCTACGCGATTGTATAGTTCTATAATCCTCTATAGGGTTTTGGTTTGTATCAGGGGCACCTGGTTTGTATTGCATAGTTTTATCATCAACAACGCAGAAGAAACGACGCTTATTTGAAAAAAAAAATACTAATGTGGTTGGAACATTCTGTGCTATTTGCACAGCAACCGGCTATCCTTGTTTTAAATTGCTTTCAGTGGGTTCCGGACAAATTGAACGAGAAGTCATTTTGGCTAACGGTGAAGGAGGGCCAGTTCTCCAATGCAGAGAGCGACGGTGAAAGCGCAGAGAGCTTCAAGCTCATCGTAGAGAACTTCTCCCAGAAGAAAGCGGACCCGGGTAAGATATTTATACGAAGGATTCTAAGTGCTAGCCAGCCACTTAATCGCCAGACAATGTTTCCTCTTTCGTAAATATGGAGAAAAATACGCCCGTATCTGTAATTACCTGCACACGGTAGACTTGATTGTTCCGACCACTAGCCGAATTCTTTACCACAGAATAGCTTTTCTTGACCCTTTTCTTTAACTTATTGACCAATTCAGTTCCCTCTCAAAGATAAATAAAAAGAAAGAAAATTTGGGGGGGGGGGAGTTGTGAAAATTTTTCCGTGAGGCCATAGTTTGAAAAAGCCAACTGTGTATGAAGACAGTATGCATGTTTTTGTTAGCCAAGAAGAAGAAAGCGGACTTGACCGATTCTGTCAAAGAAGAAGAAGAACAGGCTCGCTATTACGTCTTGGATCCAAAGAGTGGTCAAGCTCTAGGTGAGATGAATTCAGACTTCCCTAACCTAAATCCTCAAAAAAGAAAATTTAATTGTGAAATCACTCGAAGCTAGCGCCAAATTTTTAGTGTCAACCTTAGTTTTTTTCATTAAAAATAATTGTTAAAAGTGTGATAGATTTATGCTTGGCATAGTTTTTTCTAACAGCTTGCTCTTTTACAAGACTATTGCACATGATGGCGCCCCAAATTAAGCCTTTAGGACAAATGTTCTGCTCTTTTTTTATGATTTAGGCGCGCTCCTGGATACTGTGAGAGCTACATCGAACAGCAATTTTTTCACACTTTTTGTTCTTGTTCGAACTTTTTGTTGAAACCTTGTTGTTCTGTTGCAGAGGTGTTCTTCAAGGCCTCCAAGATAACCCCAGATGCTGTGATTGATGCACTGTGGAAGTGTGACGTGAATGTAATCAGCGAAAGCTACATCAACACCCTCACTGGAATCCTGATCCAGACCACTGACGAGGAAGTCATCAACCTCTGCTCCGGAATCATCGTAAGATAGACAACAAATGCAAAACCGGTTATCAAGCGAGCTACTGTTTTCAGTCGCTTTTTGACGTCTGATGTTTTTTCATTTAAAGATGAACTTTTTCGAAGAAACTTTTCTTTCTACTCGCAAACTGTTCTAATTTGTTGCAGATTGCTGCAGATTTGGCATTTATGTTAAACGTATTTTTTTCTAATGTGTATGTTTCCAGCTTTTCATAAAAATGAGTATTAGATCAAGATATTAATGTCGGTCCAAATGTTTCAAGCTTCAACGTTGCTTGAAGCTTGAAACTTTCCGAGATTTTACTTTCCGAGATTTTGGACGAAATCGAAAAATCCTGAAAGAGGTTTTGTTGTTGATAGGAACACAAGGATAAAAAACTGATGAATGCGGAAAAGATTCTACTGCAGTTCAGTGACTTGAAGGACCTTCCTGTTCGACTGGACAGCCTCCTCTTCTTGAACACATTCTCTGAGAATTTGGACCCCATCAAATCTGTAAGCCCATCAATATAATCTTTTTAAACCTCCTTGAAGCTCTAAACACACACCTAATTGATGTTTCTGCGATTCGCATAGGATATATGAAAAGCTATCAAGCCTCCCTAAACATGGTCCAATAACATTATTTCCCCAAGTTCAAGTTATTTAATGAACAATGCTCCTCTGTTGCGAATCAATTCGTTTTTTTTGCACCAAGAACTTTCACGTGGTACCACTAGTGCAGCCGAAATCGGTCAAGCTGTGGTTAGACCTGAAGCTAGAACTTAAGTGAGAGCTGGTCCTCTCACTAAGTAACTGCTCCTCCTTCACAGCTCAATTTTTGTAACTGTTACCCGTATGTATCTTTGAATTTTAAAAGCTTTGCTGTAGAATTGATTACTTTTTTTGAACTTCAATCATGATAATTATGGTCGAAGTTGGCACTAATATACTGAGATATTTACATTCTATGTTTCAATAATATCCTGTATATAGGACGTGACTATAATCTACGAGGCGATAAGGGAGCTCAACAATTCACCCTCATTCAAGAAAGTGCTCAGCATGATTTTGGAGCTGGGCAACATCCTTAACACAGGAAATCAGAGACTGAGCATGGCCATGGGTTTCGACATCAGTTACCTCAAAGAGGTTAATTAAACTAATTGTTTCTGAAATTGTGGTTCATGAATCAGTGAGCAGAATTATCATTGGCGTGCGCAGGAATTTTTGACGGGGGCAGGGTTGACAACGCTTTTTTAAAGTCATTCATGTAGAATTTTTCGAGCTTTGGCGAAACCCTGGAATGACTATTGAATACATTTCGCAAATTTTTTAGGAAGTGTGGACCAAAAAATAGCGTTTTTTTTTCGGCGAGCACTATCCTTTAAATTTAGCATATACGGGCTACGCCAAAGGTGCCATTGCAAGATTTTTAGAATGGGTCGGCCAGAAAAGGCTATCGCAAAATGGTAAAAAAGTGCACCCGTTGGAAAAAGTTTGCTGCCCAAATTTTGGAGAGGCGCTCGCCACCGCCTTTGTTATCGGCACGCTAATGAGAATGATGATGTTGCTTATGACTGAAATTATTGGCCTCTACAGAAAAAGTCTTAGATCCGAGCTGAAAAAATTGACTAGCAGCTATTCGACATCATACAAGATCTAGTTTAAGTGAAGATGCAAAATAGCCTTAGATTAGGGTTCCTTGTTAAGTCATCTCCCAAATATTAATTTTGATAATGTTTTGTTTTCAATTTGTATCTCAATCGGAACTGTTCGGAAATGTGTATGAATTGATGTGTAAGTTAAACAACTCATGTTCAAATAGTGTTTATCTGTGTTAACTGCAGCTGGGTGGCATCAAGTGTTCGGCGGATAAGAGCAAAAGTGTGATCCACGTGTTCCTCATGATCCTCGAGAAGAAGCCAGAAACAAGCACACTAGTCGACAGTCTCATTGGGGAGTTGCAGTACATTGAGCCAGCCTGCAAAGGTACTCTACGTCATTGCGATGTCAATTATGTCTATTCCTCCAACTGCGACTAATTTTTTGAAAACTGATTGTCATTGTCAAAATTTTTGATCTTAAGCTTTGATTACGCCCTTATAAATCTTTTCGAGCAGTCCCTGGTATTGTGATCAAGAATTTTTTTTGCGCGATCGCAGCTCAAAATTAATGTTCAGTTGCAATGGATGGTGTGTTTGCACCATTAGAACAATGAGTCTATCAAAAAGCCAAAAATAATTGTTGAAGTTAATCAATGAGGATATCCTTTCGAAAGTATCCTGAATTGATGCGGAAAAAAGCGACGAAATAAAATTTATGCTTCGAAAGTTTGCGAAATATTAATAACTTTCTGGTTTAATTACACAAGCATAGCTTGTGTTATACTATGAACTTTCTTTTTTTTCCAACCTAAGTCGCAAATATTGTTGCGACAAAATGTTCAATTTAAAAGCGTTCATTTTGATCCGGCTATTAAGTACAGCCAATGCTAAGCATATCAAGACAGACTATTATATTTCAAATAGCACTTAAGCTTCAAGGTATCATGGATATGTAGCGTAGAGATAGGGAAGGAGACCAGCAACAAAATAATAGGGTTTGAACCTGGGCAGGGTCGGATGTTTTCAATGCACTTTTTCGTATACTAGTTAAAATGCCTCCGCTTCATAAATTGAGGCATGTTAGTTGGTAGATTTCTTTTTTTTTCAAATTGACTGCTAATGCGCCATAATTGGCGTGCGTCACTTAAGAAATTTTGAAGACTCGAAGTTTTACTCATTCAGTTTTTCCCAGTGGCGTTATTGGTGATATTTTTGCTTGTGTAAGCGAAGTGCAACTTCGCCTGTGTCTAATGTAAGTAGATAGATACTTGTAGGGCCCAAATATGATTTTTCTGACTTTCGAAGAAGGGATCGACTATTTGTGCTCGGTGTGGTTTTTTTCGACATATTTCGTCTTATTTTGTTGCCACTTTTGAATAGCGTTTTTATACCATCTGAAAAGTATTGAAGTCCTGAGGTCAATTTAAAAGGATACTTTACATGTGATTATGTTTTGTAAAGTTATGGGAGTTTTAAAGAGTGCCAATATGGCTAAATTGGGAAAAGTTTTGCGCGATATAAACTGTTCTTTTTACGCGTGAGCGGCGATTTAATCCTGCTCAGAAATTGTTATGGTAAATGTTTGAGGCAAGCTGTTTGAAACAATTAGTATTTTTTCTAGACGCTGATTGCATCACTTTGTATTTTACCTAGTTGTTGGGGGGATATTTTCAAAACAAATATTTGATTAATAAAAATGTTAATTTCTTAAAAAACTGATTTATTTAGGGCAGTCGGAACATTCAGGGACATTATTATAAGACCTTTAGGGCAGTCGGAACTTTCAGGGATTTGCCTTGATATGAGCAGTGCTGATATAATTTTAATTTTTTTTTGAAAAGTGAGCTATATTGATCAATCAAGTATCTATTATCGAATCTGTTCATCAATTTAAAATTTCCCAACCTTCGTGATTTCCCAATTTACAATTTTCCAGTACAACCTATCGGCACTTAGGTTGTCAGTAGTTGTTAACAAAAACCTTTTGAATGGTTACAATACTGCTTGTGTATAAGCCCTGAATGTTTTTTGACTCCCCTGAATTGGTCTAGAATAACTTTTTGTAAATAAAATTTGATAAAGCATAAATGGAGTGCCAATATCAAATTTTCGATGCAAAAATTAGATTCGTATACGAAAGGAATAAACAAACTAAGTATGCCTCATTTCAATTGGGATTGTTTTTGCGGATAATTAGCGACGCATAATTAGTTCGCGTATTTACGCTAGCCAGCGTAGTGTATTAGTATGACTCCAACCTAAATTTTTTTTCGGTTCCCAAGCTTATCAACACGTGTTTTTAACCTCCTTTGTCCTCTCTCATATAACTCCACAATTAAATCAATCCACTACAATTTACCTCCTTTTTAATACCAATTAGTGGAATCAAAGTGAAAGTTACTTGAAAGCGATTCGGGTTCATAGCGTCGGTGAACATCAAAGGTGCAATTGCGAAAATTTCGCGAAACAAAACGAAGTACCATGCACGCTGCTAAATGCGGTTTAGATTTGAACAGAAATGACCTTGCCTATAGTCTAGACTTTGATATGAGCTTGAAAACTTATCCGACCGGTATGATTCAAATTATTAACCGAAAATGATTAGATTTCTCAATCTTGAAATATTTCTTGCTAATAATAGATTAATTCGCTGGGTTCAAATGAAATATAGAATGGAAACTGGTTGTGACTGGTTGTTGATCTGATATACAAACAAAGTTTAGAAAATATATACACAAAGAACAAATTAACGAATATTTAGCCTAACTTCGCCATGGCGCGAAGGAAATCCCAATCGGTTTTTTCGTATAACACGCATATTTTGAATTTCTTGTTCTATGACTCGGTATTTTTTTTTCAAAATGGTGTCCACTCAAGGCGTTTTTTAATTTGATTTTTTGAAGGCTCGCGTCTTTTGGCAAATTTGCAATTACTTTCTTGCAATTTACTTTGTAATATACTGGGATGCGAACCATTAATATATGACTGTTTACAATAATGCCTGCCCTCTACAGTATTTGTTGTTCTGGCTAAGCTGTATGCTGCCGCATCTCTTTGATTCTATAGCGAAAGGGAGGAATTGGAGTTCTCGATTTGGTACCAGACTTTTTATGTAATTGATCCGAAATAAAGGCAGAGCTCTTACGCTTTAGCAATTTTTTCCGAGTCTGTTATGGTGCGAGCGATAGCATTTTATTTGATTTTCCTGGGCTATTTTATCGTACAAATTTCCTTATTCTTCAAAAGCCATTGAGGGTTATATTTCAAGTGCCAATAAAAACCCGTGGCTTGTTTCTGTCACATTTCTTAATCCGAGTTTCGCAGTTTTTGCCATTTTTTTGAGATTTCCGTAGCATTTCCGGCACACGTATCATTCCCGGCTCACTGAATAAAATAATTCTTTCGTGATCATTTTTTGGTCAAATCTTACAAAATTTTTGAATAGCTCGGGTGTTTCGAAGGTTCTGGTTGCTGGGGAGACTGGTAGAAATCTGTTCTCGTTGCTTGAACATGCGTTGTGCAGTTCGCACTAGGTTTTCTTTAATTGGCACGACTAATTTAGTAGCAATATCGTGTTATGTGCTGAATTGATGTTACGACTGCGACAGTCAGCGTAATACTCGCTAGCTCAAGTCCTCGTTCTTTTTTCTGTAGTCGAGCATCGGATTTTGCCGTAGAAATGTCATGATCATGCTCGCCAATAGTTTCAATAAAATATTCGCCATCTGTCGTTATTGCTGTTGCTCGGCATTTATGAGTCGCTTGGCAGGTTTATCTTTTAAAGACAAACAAATATTAGTGGTATCAAGCCTCAAGTATTATCCTGCCGAGCGAAAATTTTATTGGAACTTATGAACACACACATGATATTTTTACAGGAAAATCCACTTATATGCCTGATACCATTTTTATTTGTTTGTCTTTGAAAGTAAAATGCGAGGACGCTTCAAACATAATCGCTCAGAGAATGATAGACCAATAGTTTAAGTGTAAGGAAGTATGATTTAATGTAAAATTCTTTAAATTCGCCTTTAATAAACACTATGTATTAAACGCGTGAGTGAGGGCTTATTTCTATCTTTGATCGAAATGCAATTAACTTTGAGATGCTGGAGGCATCAAGTGAATTAAGAATGGCCTTTCTGTTTTTAATGGCCTTTCTGGTCTCAATTTTTAACTTAATTGGAATACTACTATGATTATTAAAGGAGTAAATTTGAAACAAATTATCGGTATTTGAAGGGAGTTGAATTAATGTGGGGTTATCTTGTTACGGGGTTTTAAAGTAGGGGGTGTAAAAAGAGAGGGTTAAATAACGTGGATTTAAAGAGTGGGACACACTTTTTTCTTCACCTAGCTCGCAAATAAAATGCTCATTTGGTGGCACTTGTACTATAATCACGATCTGTAGCATTGGAAACTTGATAGCATTTGTTCTCTGCTTTGTTTGTGTCTTGCATTTGCTGATCCTTAAACGTCCGTTGCTGAGAGGGAAGGACGTGAGACTTCAATTCTCAAGATCACTGGTTCGGAACGAGACGTATCTAAGTTATTACTTTTTTCTACTTTTTACTTCATTTTATGGAGCTGCTTTTTTGTCGTTTTCTTGCTAGTCTTTGCGAAACGCAGCTTCGCTTGTGTGAAGGCATTATAAACGGAAAGAGAAGTTCTAGCCACAGTTTCAGATGATCCCAAGCTGGAAGGCATTATAAACGGAAGGAGAAGTTCTAGTCACTATTCAAGATGCTCCCAAGAGGATTCCAGTTGCTCCCAAGCTGTCAAAACGTTCCTTGTAAAATTAGTCTGAATGAAAAAAAACCGCTATATATATTCCTCATTTTCTTCGATAGTCGAAACAGTTGACATATTGTCTTAGTTCCAAATGATCAATCATAAATGTTGAACAATTGGCATTGGTGCCTGGTGTTACTGGTATCCTATTTTGGTCCTTTTTATCGCGGTTAAATGTGCTGAACTTAATGTTGTCTCTTAACTTGTTATTACGTGATAGTGATGAGAGTTCTATTTCAGTGGACGAGGCTTCAATTGACTCTCGCATGGGTGGCCTGAAGAAGAAGAGTGAGAAACTGGGAAAGACTCTAGAGAAGAAGAAGGTAATCAATGACAAGGATGCGTTTATTCCTGTGTTCAATAAGTTCCACAAGGATGCGTGCAAGCAGTTGAAACTAGTGGAGAGCATGATTGACAAGTACAAGAAGGAACTGGACACCATGCGACTCCAGTTCTTCGAGGTCAGTTCTCACTTAATGTACTGGAGCTGCATTTTGTGGTTTTAGCTGATGTTTACTGTCAGTTCACTTCTTTTTCAAACCAAAGTAGCACATTTTACTGCTAAATTTTTGTGCAGTTTATCAGAGTTATAGTTTTTGAGGGCCCTTTAACTATTAAAACAGTTTAGCTCAATTTTTAAGAGATATTTACTATGCAACTGAGTCGATAACTTTTTTTAAATTTTTTTTCAGGTAGCTTGACCTTCGATTTCTTTTGAAGTTCTGTTCATTTCCTTTGTTAAAAAGAAAACAAATTCCACTATCGAACAGCACAACTGTAAGGGTCATGAAAAACATGGTCGACTTAGAAAGTTGGTTTCGATTTTAGGGTTTCCCAGCGGAGTAAAAAAAAAAACATTTATCTTTTCATCCAGTTTTTTTTTTCAAATTAGGTTCTTTTTTTTATCAAAAAAGTGTCAATCACAACTGTCTGTTGGCTATGTTTTCTCGTTAAGTTTGGGGAGTTTGAAAGTGGACAATTTTCCTTTCGCTGGATCAAATTATGCAGTTTTTGTACTTTTTTTGATGTTCAACGCAAAAACGCGGAATATTTTTCAGCTCAGTTAATTAGTCCAAGTTTGCCCAATTCGTTTTCCTATTAGCATCAACTTATATTTTTAAGATTTGTTGAATGCAATGAAGACATTGATTGAGGTCGCATGTTTTTTCCAGCAAAAATGTTCAAACTTGGGTCACGCTTAAATTTGAATTTTCGTTGCTTGATTTTGAGTTCTTTTTAGGTTCAATTTAAATTTATTTGCTAGAAAGAAGGCAACTTTTGATTCCCAATTTAGACAGGATATCGTGCGAAAAAAAAACTTGAATTACTTTAATTTTGAAATGTGTACTTATTAAGAGTAATGGACGTAGTGAAGACTGTTATATAGGTCTTGGTGATTTTTTTGGTGTTTTTTTTCCAGGAAAATGTTCTAATGACTACAGATATGCATTCATACATTTATGAATACACTTAGGTATATATTCATTGGTTGAGTTAAATTGAAATTCATCTGAAAGTGAGGTAAATAGCACACTCCAAATACAACTGTGGAAATGGCGCGAAAAAACGTGAACGATTTGTAGTGGAACATAATTTTTAGATTTCTAGCGGAATAAAAACTTTACCTATTTACACTTGCGAAGCAATGTGTTATTGTAAGAACTTTCTTTTTTTTTCCAACCTAAGTCGCAATATTGTTGCGGCTTTTGTTGCGACTAATTCGCAATTATTGTTGCAACTTAAAACAACATTATTTGCTGCATCGAATTGGCAATAAGATATTTTGTTGCACCTTTGATTTTTAGTTGAACCTTTACAGCTTATTGATAACATGTGCTTCTACATTTTAATCTAATAGTTATAAGTTTACACAGTCATCAAGTGAACCGAAGAAAGCTATTTGTTTCAAAAAACATAACAATAATAAAATCTTTCAGAAATGTTCTTACTCAATGTTTCTCGCAATTTTTTGAAATGCATAATTTATCCATAATGTGGCTTTATGATTTTCGATTTTTTACTTGCGAAATTGTATCTTTTTGTATTTGATGCTACTTTTGCTGCATCGAATTGTCAATTTTTTAGCATATGAAGTTGTAATTTTGATGGCTAGTTTTTAGGGATTTTAAGCATCCGTGGCTGCAATGTTAGTGCGTGAGTCTCAAATTTGCTAGGTCGCAGATTTAGGTAATTCGAGTTTTTGCTAAGCCACGAGTTTTTGCAAATTCGAGGCTTATATTTCTTCTTTTTCTTATGTCACTTGATAGAGCTAATTTTTGGTCGTGTTCTCTCAAGTGTTTGCGAAGCGCGGCTTCGTCTCTGTGTGATCCAGTGTTCTCAAGTTGGTTTATTATTATCAAAAACCGCCAATCATAAATTTTGCTAGAAATTAAAAGAGCTTAAATCGTATCTATTTTTTCCTTGGAAATTCGAAGATTGAGTTTTTTCCAACAAAGTCAGTGTTTTTTTCCTGTTTACTTGCGTTCATTACTCTTTTCCAACTGTCAGTTGGCTATGTTTAGATAATCAAGCGATAAAATTTTAACTATTGAAACAGTTTTCTCTATTAAAACAGTGTTTATCCGAGTTCTTGGAATTGATCCATGTTTCTCCAATTGGATAATTTAATCGAAGAAATAACGTTTTTACTCAAAATAATTGAAAATGTTTCAGAAATATTTGGTTTTTTGTTTCGCAGAAACAGTAATTTATTGCATCGGAAAGCATCAGTCGTTTCAAAAACCTCTAGCTTTTCATGGCAAATTCAAAGATTTTTCCGGCGTTTTTTCAATGAGTTGATTTATACTGTTTGAACGGTCTGTTATGGGTCGAAATTCATTTTTGTTTTATTTTGTCAGTTAATTGTCTATTAAGAGTCAATGAACGCTGTGAACACTCTTACAAAGGCCATGATGTTTTTTGTTCATAATTTTGTTCACGCTATATCTTTTTTTCGTGGTTTGATTTCTGTTTTTTTTCCTTGTTCAGTTAATTTCTTTTGTTAAAACTCCATTATTAAACTGCAAATGTAATCGAATTTTAATTTCGAAAGTAGATTTTATTTTCAAATTTCCGTTTCCTCAAATTGGTTAATTATATCGAAAAAAGGTGATATGTTTTTTTATTATATGAAATTCGAAGCAATTTTTTCCAACTGTCTAAAAGGCAGATGCTTCGAACCTTTTTTCGCAAAACTTAAAACAAAACTATTAGATATCACTCGATCTGACCTGAAGTTTCATGGTCTCATCTAGATTCGTGACGAAAAGTTGACGCCGAAAGTTACTCCGCGACCATGTGGTCAAAAAATAAATGCATGATTTAAGTTATTATCGAATTGAGCAATTTTATTAGTGAAACGAACCAAAACCGATTTTTTTATCGTAAACTGAAGTGAAAATAGGGAACAAGTATGATATTTGTTTCTCATAAATGAAGATGGGCTCTGCAGAAATATTTATTTGCCTTCAAATCTTCAGAATTTTTAGTATTTCATATAACTGTTGGTGGGACCCAAATTGCTTACTTGGTTTTTCTAGGGACCAAACTGTCAAACTTGCATCAAAATTAGAAAAAAAAATCGTTTTATTTAGGAAGGGACGAATGTGTCGATCGAAAATGTGCGTGATGTGAGCCAGTTCCTGACTAGTCTGAAGCATTGCAAGAAGGACTTGGAGGAGGAGAGGGCGGCGGCTGCGAGGGAGGAGGCCAAGCAGAAGAAGGCCGAACAGGAGAAGAAGCGCAAAGAGGAGAAGAAGGCAGAGAAGAAAAACCTTAACGACATTGACGGTCAGTTGATTAGTCATAAACTATGTGGTCAATATCCACTTCGTTCATTGCTGTATTTTATCTGATTTCTTAACCCCTGCAACCATAGCTATTTGTTTATTTGTGAAAGATCATCAAGGTGATGAATTTATTCTATAAATATCAAAGGAACAATTTTTCAACGAATATCAGTGTTTTTTTCGGTAGCCTTGAGTTCCTTACTTATGCAACTGTCTGATGGCTATCTTTGGTCTAAGCAAATTTTAAACATCATTTTTAATCGATTCCAAATGGTCGATTTGTTAATTAGTTATTATTTTTCATTTATTTTTCAGCTATGGGCGACAGCGAGACTGGTATTCTGGATAACGTGCTCAGCAATGTGCCCCAGGCCAGAGCCAAGAGAGCCCAGAGGTCAGGTGGTGGGGGAGGGGCAGGGGGCGGCAGAAGTGCGGCGAACAAGAGGGCCGTGCTGACCCGTCGACAGAGCCAGCTAGGAATGTCTCCGGGAGGCAGCAAACAAATGGTCATGGCGAGCTGAGGATAACATATCCTGGGTATTAACGAGGAATTACCCCCTCGCTTCCAGGGGACATGACCTCAATGAATAACCCCCTGGTACTCACTAGGATCACGTGACGTCATCATATTAATGACACATCGGAATGTTCTCTGTAGATCAGATGAATTTATCATTTAATTTCAAAAATAATAAGACTATTTTACTATTTCGTGTTGAAACCTTGTATTTCCGACATTTAAATTGACCAATTGAAGGCTCATATGATCAGACACATTTCCATAGCTTTTCGTTTCATTGTTTGGTTTCATTGTCGTAGATTATTCTTTATTAATGAGCTTGTTTATACAGTTGCTAGATGGGATTAGTAAAACTCTATTTCTAATAATTTAAATCAATCTTCCATTTGAATAAACTACTGGCTCTCATGGCACAAATGTTGTAAAAATACATTTATTTTCAATCTATTCGTTTTTACTCAGTCTGCAAAGCTTAAATTACTAAGTGAAAATATTAGGATTTTTTATTAGGAACCGTGAAATCCAAGAGTTACATGAATTGCAAAAATATCCACTGAAACAATCCCGATAGATTTTTTGTAAATACAGCTGCAAAAATAAAATTAAAAACTGGATCTTGGACGGAATTTTGCTCCAGAGAATGTCAACTCTAAAAAAGTTAAACTTAACGGAGCAATAACTCTTGTGGGACTGTCCGACTTCTGTGCACCTGCAAATCTCTGGCACCTTTTTTATGCCGTTTCGGAAATGCCTCCAATCAAAAATTAATGAACGTATTTCGAGAAGGGGAAGGACAGAAAGTAATTGTGACTACCAGAAATACCAGATCCAGTGGTTTTCTCATCCAGATGAGATCTTAATTATTCAAACACCTTTTGTGTTGACTTATCGGTCTGAAAATATGCAAATTTCAGCTTGAGCAGCGTAATAAAATTAGACAGAACAATATCTTAAAGAAAAAATGAGCCAGTGGCTTCAAAATAAGAAAGAGCTAACAGCTTTGTTGTTGTCCGGTTTCTCCGGCTTGCAGAACCTACCCTCTATCAATTTTGAGAACTTTGCAGGTAAGTGAGTCATTCGCGAAAGTGATGTAAATTAACTAAAAGCTAGTCTGTGAATTATTTTGGGGGATTTCTTTTACCCGAATGAAACTTGGGACCGGTGATTGCAAGATATAACACTAGCGATACCTTGTAGTATCATTGACAATGATACTACAATGCCACTTTTACAAGAAAATATAAGTGCTCTAAGTTTTGGTGGCAATTTAATCGCTGATGTGGCCTTGTCAATTTAATATCAAATGCTGTGAAATCTGATTACACTTGCGATCAGCGTAGTGTTTTATTACGAACTTTCTGCATTTCTAACCTAACTTGCAAATAAAAGTATTCACTTATTTGAAAGTTTCACCGTAGCATTGGAAATTGCATAGCATCTGTTTGCTGCTTTATTTGTGGCTAGTGTTTGGTGTCTACTAAACTTCCGTGGCTGATTGGTTAATGCGTGAGAACCTTAATCTCTAGGTCGCAGGTTCGAATCTCAGAGGTAGCCGAATTTTTACTAATTCGAAGCTTATTTCTATTTTTTTGTTATTGCGTTTTATAGAGCTGCTTTTTGTCGTGTTCTCGCGAGTGTTTGCGAAGCTTTGCCTCTGTATCTAAAATTGGGCTTATTTTATCAAAATAGTTGTCTTTCAGAGATTTTTGTAAATCAAAAGAGCTTTAAGGTCATATAATTTTTTGAAATTTTACAAGAAAAAATGAATTATGTTTTAGTTTCTTTGAATTCGTTGAATTTTTCTCCATCTATCTGTTGGTTAAATCTTAATTCATCAAATGGATCAATTAGTTTCATGCTCCAGTGTGAAAATAAATCCCCAATTCAAAAATGTTCTAAATAAATTTTGCAATATTTTTGAAATGCATAGTTTATGCACAATTTAATTTTATGCGTTCCAATCCATTACATGTCAGATAATTGTGTTGCCTGAATTTTATTACATTCTTAGTTTTTACATGCTAAGTTTGTGCTTGTATTTGCTTTCAAGCTGCTTTTTGCTGTTTTCTGGCTTGCATCGGCAAAGTTCCAGCGTAGCATCTAAGTACCAACTTCAAAAAGATTTTGGTGTTATTTGGATTACGAAAGCATTTTACGTAAAATTGCTTAAAGCCTCGCTTTTCTGAATAATCAGAATAATTTTCAGATGCTATTTGATTTGGTTTTTAAAGTATGTTTTAAGAAAAAAACGGGGTTTTTGAAGCCGTAGCACTGCAATACAACTTGAAAAACAAAAATTGTTTTTGTGCTAGTAGGATCGAGTTTTCCGAGCGCGGTTTTCTATGGAAATAATTGAAAACAAAAAAGTAAAAAATAAATTACTAAGCTTAGTTAACCTTAAAAACTATTGTTTAGGTTTTCAGGTTAATTGCGGTTATCGAGAATCCCAATTCTTTGTTTACACAACAAGCAAGCGAAAAAGCATTGTGTTATGTAGCAAATAAGGTTTTATTTCCATTCAAATACACAAAATACAAATTCTTGAATCAAGACTGAATGTGAGTTGATTAAACTTGCGATTAGCGTGCGATTAGCGTGATTGGTTAATGCATGAGAACCTTAATCTCTAGGTCGCAGGTTCGAATCTCAGAGGTAGCCGAATTTTTACTAATTCGAAGCTTATTTCTATTTTTTTGTTATTGCGTTTTATAGAGCTGCTTTTTGTCGTGTTCTCGCGAGTGTTTGCGAAGCTTTGCCTCTGTATCTAAAATTGGGCTTATTTTATCAAAATAGTTGTCTTTCAGAGATTTTTGTAAATCAAAAGAGCTTTAAGGTCATATAATTTTTTGAAATTTTACAAGAAAAAATGAATTATGTTTTAGTTTCTTTGAATTCGTTGAATTTTTCTCCATCTATCTGTTGGTTAAATCTTAATTCATCAAATGGATCAATTAGTTTCATGCTCCAGTGTGAAAATAAATCCCCAATTCAAAAATGTTCTAAATAAATTTTGCAATATTTTTGAAATGCATAGTTTATGCACAATTTAATTTTATGCGTTCCAATCCATTACATGTCAGATAATTGTGTTGCCTGAATTTTATTACATTCTTAGTTTTTACATGCTAAGTTTGTGCTTGTATTTGCTTTCAAGCTGCTTTTTGCTGTTTTCTTGCTTGCATCGGCAAAGTTCCAGCGTAGCATCTAAGTACCAACTTCAAAAAGATTTTGGTGTTATTTGGATTACGAAAGCATTTTACGTAAAATTGCTTAAAGCCTCGCTTTTCTGAATAATCAGAATAATTTTCAGATGCTATTTGATTTGGTTTTTAAAGTATGTTTTAAGAAAAAAACGGGGTTTTTGAAGCCGTAGCACTGCAATACAACTTGAAAAACAAAAATTGTTTTTGTGCTAGTAGGATCGAGTTTTCCGAGCGCGGTTTTCTATGGAAATAATTGAAAACAAAAAAGTAAAAAATAAATTACTAAGCTTAGTTAACCTTAAAAACTATTGTTTAGGTTTTCAGGTTAATTGCGGTTATCGAGAATCCCAATTCTTTGTTTACACAACAAGCAAGCGAAAAAGCATTGTGTTATGTAGCAAATAAGGTTTTATTTCCATTCAAATACACAAAATACAAATTCTTGAATCAAGACTGAATGTGAGTTGATTAAACTTGCGATTAGCAAGGGTTATATGCAGGGGAGGATTTAGGGGGAGCAGACCCCCCTCCCCTCAGTGATTCGACCCTGCGGACCCAAAGGGTACCCCCTTTGTACTATTTTAAGGTATCCATTTTTAGAAACGGGCCCTAAATTTTTCTAAAGGCGCCAATATTTACTAATTTTGAGTGGAAAACACGCGCCAAGAACGCGATTTTTTGGTCAAAATTTTCTAAAAAGTGCCGATAAACGCCCTTTTTGCAAAAAAGCCTAAAAAAATCAGTTTTTTTTAAAAAACTTTGCATGCGGCGCAGAATTTTTGGTCAAAACAGGGTCTTTGCAGTGACACATGATTTTACGTAACTTTTATGAAATGAACTAAAAACCGAAGAAGACATATTTTTACTTTTTTTTACTAGGATCGTTGACATTTTTCGTTTTGTTTGCTGGCTATGTTTTATTTCGTTTTTGAAAGATATCTGCTGAATAAAAAATCGTTTGATCTAAAGCCAATTAGAGTTTAGTTCACTGTTAATTTAAAGATTAAAAGTCAGGATGATTACTAAATCATATCAAATCTCTCAATTTTGTATGTTCAGTCGATAGTTGCCGTCAACCAAACACTAGAAAAAATATCATAAGAGGAGAGAAATAAGACATTTCTTTCAGTATTGACGAGGTCAGTTATGAGATAAATTTATGAGTTAAAAAAATTTATTGTTAGGCATTAGAGGGTAGATAAAAGGCTGACAATGTGCCCACTGAAAAACTAGCCCAGATAGTCAATACCATCAAAAAAGAATTTCATCGAAGGTAATTTTCCTACTAAATTAATAATTTTTTTAAAAAAAATGGGTAAAAATTAATTCTTACTATCAGAAAATATTATTTTGAATAGATCTATTTAACATTCGGCACCTTTTACGATACACATGCTAATAGGCTGGTCTCCAAACAAGTTTTTTATTAGCGTTCTTGCTAATTGCACGTTAACGACTGACGCGCACTCAGAGGAGTTCACAAAAGGGCAGTACATTTCAAATAAGTCGTTCCAAATAAGTAACAGCAGCATGAAGAGGACGTAGAACCAAACGTATTTTTAAAAAAAAACTACATTTAAACTAAAACCAAAAATGAATAAATATAGAATCTCATATCTTAAATTAAGATAGTAATCCTGAGTTCAAAAATTGAATTAGCAAACAAAATAATACAAAATACCCGATTAAAAATTATGATTGTTCACAAAGTAATTCACCTGTTTGACATTACTATTACGCTTGCGACTACAAGCGTTATCAAATCGGAATGCAGAATTTTTTCAGGTCAACAAGTAGCTTAACAAAATCAGTTGAATCTCTTATGATGCTGCTATCACTTATGATGCTGCTATGCTGTTGACATGCTCAGTTTCTTGAAGTTTCAATTTCAACTACTGGGTGGGTAGTAGTTACTACATGGTAGTTTCAGGGAGACTTAAAACTTTTTAAAGTTTTTACAAAATCCGTTTTTTTTGTCAAACTGGTGTCTGGTCGAAGATTGTCTGCCTTCTTTCCGCTTCGCAAGTTTGTTTAGTTGCTAATTTGAAAAGCTCCCCTTAATAGGCGGCTACCACCAAGCTATTTACACATAAAATTATGGCTCTCGGAAAAGTCAAATTTTATCTTTTTTCCAAACCTAATGCCCTAACATTCCAAACCTAAGGTCCTAATTTTTCGAAACTAACTTTCCAAACCCAAGGTTGCTGATTCAATGGAGATAACAGGCAGTGGAAATCCCCGTAT